GTCCCACCCCACGGTCCCACCCCAGACACAGCCTCTCCATCCACACGTCCCACCCCACGGTCCCACCCCAGACACAGCCTCTCCATCCACACGTCATCCACAACAGGCCCCAAACCCTAAGCGTGCTGGCCACCTTGTGAGAGCTTTTCTAAACCAGTGTAGCCTGAGTTTCAGAATGTTACTGAGTGGGGCTGAGAAGGTGGCTCAGTGGTAGAGCACTTGCCTTGCATGCCTGAGGCCCTGGGTTCGATTCCCCAGCACCACATAAGCCAAAAAAAAAAGCCGGAAGTGGCACTATGGCTCAAGTGGTAGAGCACTAGCCTTGAGCTGAAGAGCTGAGGGACAACACCCAGGCCCAGAGTTCAGGCCCCATGACTGGACCCCTGCCCCCCCCAAAAAAAAACAAAAACAGAATGTTACTGAATAACATTATCCACTTAAAAAAAAAAAAAAAAAGCTGGGCACCGGTGGCTCACGCCTGTAATCCTAGCTACTCAGGGGGCTGAGATCTGAGGATCACGGTTCAAAGCCAGCCTGGGCAGGAAAGTCTGTGAGACTCTTATCTCCAATAAACCATAGTAAACCAGAAGTGGTGCTGTGGCTCAAGCAGTAGAGCGCTCGCCTTGAACTGAAGAGCTGAGGGACAGTGCCCAAGCCACGGAGTTCAAGCCCCAGGACCGAAGGAAAAGAAAAAAGACCCCAAAATGAAAATCAGAGGCGTAAACCTGCTCTGGAAGCAAAATCAAGATAGGGCCAGACGCCAGTGGTTCACACCCATAATCCTAGCTACTTAAGAAACTGAGATCTGAGGATCGTGTTTCAAAACCAGCCCAGAGCAGGAAGGGAAGGTCAGTGAAACTCTTATCTCCAATTAACTGACCACCAGAAAACTGGAAGTGGTGCTGTAGCTCAAAGTGATAAAGTACTAGCTTTGAGCAAAAAAGCTCAAGACATTCCTCAGGCCATGAGTTCAAGCCCCCTGACTGAAAGAAAAACAAAAAACCCAGAAATCCAAGATAGCATAGAACATCAATCAGAGGACCAGAACAATGCTCAGATATGTAAATAAATAAATGATAGGATACAGAGCCATGGTGGTGACATCAGGAAACTGCTGAAAACAAATTCACTGACATTAGCAAAAAACCCAGTTTGTGCACAAGGGAATGCTCTCACTGGGTCAAGCAAGGCCTCGAGAGAGACAGAATGGTCAGCAGAGGAGGATGGGGGACACCAGAGGGCTCTGCTCCCCAGTCGGGTGGGGACATGACATAGTCTTCTCTGAAAATTACAGTAATGTAACGTATTCCATGGAGAGAAAAGGAAGTGACCTGGACAAAGGAGTGGTGAAGATAATGACTGTCAAAGGCACAGGTGGAGGACCAGCAAGGTGGTGACAGCTGTCCTAGTTACCCTGCTCAGGAAGTATAGTATCTGGAGGGGGGGGATCAGAAGTTAGTCGAGAAGCAGAAGCTGAAGGACGCTACAGGAATGCAGGGCATGGCCGTCCCAAGCCAGAACTAAGCAGGGGAGAAAGCAGCCTCATCGGGATGAAATCTGACCAGTGGGCACTGGGCACGTCCCTGGGAAGCAAGTCCCGGGCTGGGTGCATGAGGACAATGCAGAGATGACCTAAGGGCACTCCCAAGCAAAAGCCACCCACATCTGGTGGCCCTGAGGCGGACGCCACCACACACTCACCGTTGTCGAAGTCAATGTACTTGGTGATCTTGTGCCAGGTGCGGTAGTAGAAGTGCCGAACCTGCTCTTTGTTCTTCACCATGCTTGCAGGCTTCCCCTTTTTCTTGTACTTCAGAGCAATGTTGTTCTGAATAGCTTCAAAGTCCTTCCCATGCTAGAAAAAAAGCCCATGATAAAGAGTAGCAGTTAAGATAAAAGAGGCTCATTATTTCAAGACACAGTGGCACTCGCCTCTAACTGCAGATATCTGGAAGCTGAAGTAGGAGGATGTGCAAACAATCAAGAGTTCAGGCCAGGAAGTGGCACTGTGGCTTAAGGTGGAAAAGCACCAGTCTTGAACAAAAGAGCTCAAGGACAACATCTAGGGCCTGAGTTCAAGCCCTACAAGGGAGGGACCAGAAGAATGAAAAAAAAACAAGAGTTGAGGCCAGCCAGACTCTGGTGCCTCACACCTGTAACCTTACCTACTACGGAGACTGAGATCTGAGGATCATGGTTCAAAGCCAGCCCAGCAGGAAAGTCTTATCTCCAATTAACTACCAGAAAACCAAAAGTAGAGCTGTGGCTCAAAGAGCTGGAACTCGACTGGAGCGAAGGAGCTTAGCGACTCAGACGCCCTGAGTTCAAGCCCCACAAGAAGCAACAACAACAACAGAGAGAGTTCAGTCAAGGCAACACAGTGAGACGTGTCCCCATCTTAAAAAACAAGAGGCAAGCCGGGTGCCTGTCATCCTAGCTACTCAGGAGGCTGAGATCTGAGGATCACAGTTTAAAGCCAGCCCGGCCAGGAAAGTCCCAGGAAACTCTTATCTCCAGTAATCCACCAGAAAACGGAAGTGGCACAGTGGCTCAAGTGGTAGAGTGCTCACCTTGAGCTGAGAGCTAAGGGACAATCTATGACCAACAAAAACAAACAAACAAGTGGCATTACACAAGAGTTCTAGATAGTCACAACAGTAAGACCAAAAGAGGATAATCACAGGAGAGAACCACAAAGGTGCAATGCACCCCAGCACCTCTTCACACGTGTATAAAATAATATACAAACTGAGACTAGCTTCAAAGATAAGGAAACAAAACATTTTTTGTAATTTATCTTTTTCTGATGACTCTATATTATTTACTTTATACACAGTGTGTTCAGGTGCACACCTGGGGGAGGGTGGGGGAAGGCCAGAATCTGAGGGAAAAGGTGACCAAGCGCAGCAGTGGGGCGCACGGGCTGCCCTGAACAGTGATGAAAGTAACCTATGCAGCTCGTGGGTAGAGATGGAAGAACAGATGACACCATGTAAAAGGAAATGTACTTGTGACAGACATATGTAAAGGTGACGCTGTTATACGTCACCTCCAAAACAACAAAGACTTCAAAAAAAAAAGAGGCACATAAACATGAAAGGCAAAGCTAGATCTGAAATACCTCCTCCACGTCTAGCTCAGAGGCCATCTCTTCCCAAACCACTTTCAACTTAGACAGGGAACAATGGAAGCAGAGGCCACACCAGGCTGGCCCAGCACCTGGGGCTCTGCCTCCTGAAACCAACTATATACCTTACAGTCAACCCCACAGATGCCTGCTGGAGTAATTCCCTGAAGAGCAGGGCTGGCTCTGCACATCTGGCAAGACTCTGACGTTCTACTCTCCCTCCATGCCCATCTGGCTTAGGAGTCGCTCCAGTTTCCTCTGCATTTAGTGCCGCTCTGGGCGAGGGCTCCGCTGGAAGCCTAAGCAGAAGTGAGGTGCACCAAAAAGGCAGTGAAGGGCTAGGTGTACACCCAGCGATGGACCCTGTGGTCAGCAGACACAAGACTCTGCAGTGAAGGGCTAGGTGTATGCCCAGCAATGGACCCTGTGGTCAGCAGACACAAGACTCTAGGTTCCTCTCACAATTCCAAGGGTTGGGGAACCAAACCTTCACCAATACTGCAGATACAATGTTCCTCAGGGTAGAGGTCTGCACTCCACCACAGTCCCACAGCTCAAGATTTCATTTTCCACACTCCCCCCGAAACAATGAGCCGCAAGAGAGGCCCCATCAAAGTCAGACACATAAAATGTCAGGCATAAAGCAGATATACTTTACTCACATGCTCTTTTACTGTGAGATACAAAGTACCAGTAATAGACAACTATTATTATTAATCAAGGATTTCAGGAAAACTAAAAACATTACTTCCCAGAAAATGAAAATAGGCTCTGAAGGTGCAGCTCAAGCAGCTCTGTCTAGCAGGCTTGAGTTCAAACCCCAGCACCATCAAAATAAAAATAAGTAAGAGTTGGGCGCCGGTGGCTCACGCCTGTAATCCTATCTACTAAGGAGGCTGAGATCTGAGGATTGCGGTTCAAAGCCAGCCCAGGCAGGAAAGTCCGTGACTCTTTTTTCCAATAAACCACTAGTAAACCATAAGTGGCGCTGTGGCTCAAGTGGTAGAGCGCCCCATAACTGACCAAAAAAAAAAAAAAAAAACCCGCCCTGGCTCACCCCTGTAATCCTAGATCCTCAGGAGGCTGAGATCTAAGGATCACAGTTCAAAGCCAGGCCAAGGAGTCAATAAGACTCATGTCAAATTAACCAGAAAAAAAAAAGAAAAAGCCAGAAACAGAGTGGTGGCTCTAACTGTAGAGGTGGCTCAAATTGTACAGTGCTAGCCTTCAGTAAAAAAGCTCAAGGACAGAGCCCAGCCCGAGTTCAAGCCCTATGAATTGTGCGCTCCCATGTATGCACGCACGCACAAAGAACACTTCTGCAGTGTCTTCTGTTACTCAGTGGCGCCTTACTCAGGCCCTCCCCCGCCCCAATCAGCCCATTCAGCAGCCAGGGAAAGGCAGAGAGAGGACAGGACCATACCAGAACCAGCAGTGTATCTGTGAAACAATGAGAACCTTGGGACGAAACAAAAGCGTCACTGAAATTTATCCTAACAGTTACTCTCCTGTCCCACAAGAGGAAACAGGAGGCCAAAGTTGGAGCTAAAGAAATGCATGTCTCCCCCACCACTGCTGGGGCCACCTGATGAATCTCACCCAGCAGCCATGAGGCAGGAGGTGCGGGGAACAGACAAGGTGGGCAGGGAGGACTCAGGGAGGACGGCCGCACCGGCCAGCCCTTCTCAAACCGACGACGTACCTCATACAGTCCCTCGAAGAAAGTGTTCTTGTCCTCTGTGCTCCATGACTCCCACTGCCGCCGCACCTTCTTGCCTTCTTCCTTCTCAGCCCCTGAGGGCCCTAAGTTCCGGGAGGAAGAGCGCGAGCCCCCCGCAGGGGGGGCAGGGGCAACCCCAGACACGCTTCCAGATGATGACGCACCACTGTCCGCTCCTTGGAGAGAAAGGACTATACAGTAACCTCTTCAGAAAGAGGGGGCAGGGCAGGCAGAGGCAGGGGGAAGCGGGGGTAGGGGGGAAGCAGGGGCAGGGGGAAGCAGGGGCAGGGGCACACTGCCCACCATCTCACTGCAGCTAATCCACCAGGAATGCCAGCATGTAACACTCAGAGAAAATGAGTCTCACACAACAGAAGCCTGAACTGAGCAGATGATTCTTAAGCTATTTTAACAGTAAGGAGGACAGAGACCACATGTACTTTCTGAGCAGCACAGCAATGCTGCCCATTTGATGTTTAATTTGACATTCATACTCACAGAGGGTGCAGAGACCTATCCCCTTGGCAAAGCAGATACTGTATTTCACAGTCTCTTCTACCATCTTTTCAACTAAAGAAGTGAACTTCAAGAACATTTATGTGTGCAAAACATGGCCTTCATTTAGACACACCAGGACATCAGAATATAAACCATTTAAAGCCAGTGGACCTATAATGTTAGAAGTATTCTTGGTGCATATCCAGACTGGGGTTTTTAAGCGCTGTGAAGTTCCCAAGTCCTCATACAGTACCAGTCCCTAATCTGGAAGTCCTTCCAGGCAATACACATAACATCTAACAGCTAACATATAATACAGGGAAGCCTGGAGGGGAAAGGGAGGTCGCAGATGTTCTGACCTCCTGACTTCCTTCCTCTGGTAAGGATAAGGTAACACCATGAAATACTAAGAAATCTTCCAACGATGAAACAACTTTTCAACAAAGGTTAAAAAAAGAAAAGTAAAAAATACAGTCATATGTAGTAGCTCAAGCCTGTAATCCTAGCTATTTGAGAAGCAGAGATCAGGGGATTAAGATTCAAGGTCAGCCTGGAATAAAGAAATTTGCAAGATTCCATCTCAATCCACGGCTGGACATTTCCCAGTCACAGGAGAAGCATACTGGCTGGGCGCTGTGACCCGTGTCTGTCCTCCCCAGAGGCACAAGAAAGCACAGGCAAGCCAGGCCCCGGTGGCTCACGCCTGTCATCCTAGCTACTCAGGAGGCTGAGATCTGAGGATCATGGTTCAAAGCCAGACCAGGCAGGAAAGTCTGTGAGACTCATCTCCAATAAACCACTAGAAAACCAGAAGTGGCGCTGTGGCTCAAGCAGTAGAGCGCTCACCTTGAGCTGAGGGATAGTGCCCAAGCCCAGAGTTCAAGCCCCAAAACAAAAAAAAAAAAAAAAGGCACAAGTAGCAAGATTAGAGCCAGGCTGGCCAGGCATAAGGCAAGCCCTTACTTTGAAAATAACCAGCTGGATGCCAGTGGCTCAGGCCTGTCATCCTAGCTACTCAGGAGGCTGAGATATATGGATCACAGTTCAAAGCCAGTCCAGGCAGGAAAGTCCCTGAGACTCTTACCTCCAATAAGCCACTCAGAAAACCGGAAGTAGCACTGTGGCTCAAGTGATAGAGCACTCGCCTTGAGCTGAAGAGCTGAGGGACAGCGCTCAGGCCCAGAGTTCAAGCTCCACGACAGACGAAAAAGAAAATAAGAAAATAACCAATGCAAAATGGCTGGGATTGTGGCTCAAATGGTACAGTACCTGACTATCAAGAACGAGGCCCTAAGTTCAAATTCCCACCAAAAAAATAGCTCTAAATATCAAACTATCTGGTGTTCACTGAGCCCCAAATTACTCATGAGGGACTGTTTGAGAAAGGGTTGCTCAGTCACTCTGCATCACCCACCCATGACATAGGGTTTTAACGTCATTTCTGGCTTCACAAAAAATACTCATGAACTCTCTCCTCCCATGACAGCTTGCCAACCAGCCCTGGACCATTTAGCTTAACTTCAACAGTCTTGTCTTCTTGTCTTCTATGCATGTAAGAAAGAACACACAGCTTAAGTCAGATGCCATCATAAGTTAGGGAGATTTCACTGAAACATAGCATTGGTAAATCTGATGAGCGTGAATCATAAATGAAAAAAGAATGGAAGTATATCTGACTGACCACAGGGGCAAAGACCAGGGTAACTCACACTTGGAGACATGAAATGAACCTGTACCGGTAAAACTGACTTTGATAGGGCCCTGAAGTGGCAAACAATTCTTCAAAGTGACAAGATACCTTTCCACTGACCAGCAGTCAGCTAAGAGATGGCTAAGTCCTTCTTTCTGATGTTTCCTAAGCAATATTTCTTCTGCAGAGGAAATTAAAGCAAGCTGGATATCCAAAGAAAGGAAATCACCCATGTAATCATCCCAGCATTCTAGACCTCAAAGGCACTGTGAAAGTAAATTCACATACTTCAGAGAAAAGCGCAGTCCATCTGATCCACTCCAGGAACTTCAGATGAGGACATGGCTTCCTTGCTTAGCTCAAGCAGTATAAAAATAGAAGAGAGTCCCCAAAGACACTCTGGTGGACCATAAAGGAAACTATCTAGAAAAAGTTACCCTCAGTTTGGGGCGGGGGGGGGGTGGGGTGGCCTAGGATAGTAACCAAGAGGAAGAGCAAAAGCAAAGGATAAAGGGAGAAAAGAAATACAAGAGATAGAAGACAATTTTAATTCTTTCCAGGTGGGGATGTGAGAAGTCCAACCAAAGAGAGTCAAAGACCGCCGGGAGCTGGTGGCTCACGCCTGTAATCCTAGCTACTCAGGAAGCTGAGATCTGAGGATCGTGATTCAAAGCCAGCCCGGGCAGGAAAGACCGTGAGACTCCTATCTCCAATATACCACCAGAAAACCGGAAGTGGCGCTGTAGCTCAAGTGGTAGAGCGCTCGCCTTGAGCTGAAGAGCTGAGGGACAGCGCCCAGGCCCAGTTCAAGCCCCACGACCGAAAAAAAAAAAAAAAAGAGAGTCAAAGACAAGCTTCAGCTGGGCGCTGGTGGCTCATGCCTGTCATCCTAGCTACTCAGGATGCTGAGATCTGAGGATCATGGTTCAAAAGCCAGCCTAGGCAGGAAAGTCCATGAGGCTTTTACCGCTCACTAACCACCAGAAAGCAGGAAGTGGTGCTGTGGCCCAAGTGGCGGAGCGCTCGCCTTGAGCTGAAGAGTTGTGGGACAGCGCCCAGGCAGAGTTCGAGCCCCATGACCGACCAAAAAAAAAGACCAACTCCAAGGGCATTTCTGAGTCCACAAAGAGGTTTGAATTCACATGTATGGTAAGAAGCCAAGCTCCTAAGAAGCCTGGGGGAAGTGGCTCCTCGGCGAAGAGACAGCGCCTTGCTCTCCCAGTGAGCGGGAGCCTTGACAGCACACGCTCGATGGCAGTCAGGGCTACACAGCCCCAATACTTCACTGGACTCCTCCTGCCTGTCACTGACCCCACACCGGCACAGCCCAGGCTCCGGATGCACAGGACAAACCCCTTCCTCCCAGTCCACGTCCACCTCCATCCTAGCTGTCCCATGGCCCCTGTGCTTCACCCCACAAAGCTGTCACAAGAAGTCCAACAGCCTCTCTGTTCTCCCACACCACTGCCCTACGGGAGGCCACTCTCACAGCGCTCACCTGAGGAAAGCAGGCATGTGGCCTTGGTCTGCCTGCCTGCCATCTTGGGAAGACAAAAGCACTTTGGCTTCCATCTACAGCCACCCAGTACCCAGCAGGCTTGGGAATACAGAACATTATTTCAACTCCAAAACACTAGGTTTTTCTCATCCTTACAAAAGCCTAGATTGTTCTCATCCTTCAATGCAGATTTACTGCTCAGATGTTTTATACAGGTGGGGAAATTGAGCGAGGCTGCTAGGCAGCACAAACCAAGCCTGACCCCGTCCTCCCGCTGCAAAGCTACCTCCCTGCACCAAGTGGGAGATCTCCCCAACAGTGCTCCACCCTGTTCTTCAGCATCTGCTTCTTCATTAAACACAAGGCTAGAATGCAGGGTCTTGGGATGAATACTTGGTTCTTAAGATTTCTCCCCTACTTACTGAAGATGAGGAAATTCAGAGGTTAAATGACTTCCCCAAACCACATAGCTGTTGAATAGCAGAAATTAGGAATTTGGAAGATTTCTACCTCTTGGAAAATCAGCCAGATGCTGATGGCTCACACAGGTAATTCTACTCAAGAGGCTGAGATCTGAGGGCCGAGGTTTGAAGCCAGCCTGGGCAGTAGAGCTAGTGAGACTCATCTCCAACTACCAAAAAAGCTGGAAGTGGTACTATGGCTCACGTGGTAGAGTGCTAGCCTTCAGCACAAAAGCTCAGAGACAGCGCCCAGGCCGAGCTGAAGCCCCAGGATGGGCACCAAACAAAAATAGAAAGCAAGAAAGAGAAATCAAGAGAAAGTGCGGCGTGCATGTGGGCGCAAGAGAGAAAGAAAGAGAGAGAGACACCAAACTCTGTGCTTCTTATTTTATTTATTTATTTTGTCAGCCGTGGGGCCTGAACTCTGGGCCTGGGCGCTGTCCCTCAGCTCTTCAGCTCAAGGCAAGAGCTCTACCACTTGAGCCGCAGCGCCACTTCGGGTTTTCTAGTGGTTTACTGGAGATAAGAGATTCATGGTCTTTCCTGCATGGGCTGGCCTTGAACCATGATCCTCAGATCTCAGCCTCCTGAGTAGTTAGGATTATAGGTGTGAGCCACCAGCTCCCGGCTATATATTATTTTTATCTTTACTTGTAAAGCAAAGGTAACAAAATGTCATGATTTGACAATGCTGGGAAAAATTTATGTCATCTTCAAAAAATTTCTGTATTTCAAAGTGTGAAGTAACTTATATTTTAAGGAAAAATAGAGACATAAGAGGCTGAAATTTGATAAGGTGGTTATGTTGTTATTAAGACTATGAAGAACTAAAAACAAATAAATGCTCAGAGTATCATGGTTCCAAACCAGCCCAGGCAGAAAAGTCCTCAAGATTCTAACTCCAATAACAAGCAAAAAGCTAAAATGGAGTTGTGGCTCAAGCAGTAAAGCACCAGCAGTGAGCAAGTCACAAATGAGCAAACCCGCCAAGTGGGAGTATGAGACTCAGAGGTCAAGCACCAGTACAAGTTTACACATACCAAAACAAAAACAAGGGGCTGGGAAGGTGGCTCAGTGGTAGAGTGCTTGCCTTGCATGCAGGAGGCCCTGGGTGCCATTCCTCAGCACCACATACTCAAGAAAACACTGGAAGTGGCACTGTGGTTCAAAAGTGGTAGAGTGGTAGCCTTGAGCTGGAGAGCTGAGGGACAGCGTCCAGGCCAGAGTTCAGGCCCCACGGCTGACCCCCCCCCAAAAAAAGTCTACTCTTAAAGACTCAGAGTAATAAAGCAGAGGTGTGTGGAGAAAGCCGGATAAGAAAGGCCTCCATCTTCTCCCCAAGTCCTTGGCTACCAATGTCCATGAGGACTGAGATTGGCAAGGAAGGCAGCAACTGAAGGAGCTGTCACTCCCAACAGTCAATGTGCATATGTGAAAATGGAACTAGTAACCGGAGGGCCTGGGGAGGGCTGAGACAGAGGTGAGAGGTGACAGAAGAGGTAAGACCCATCAACGCTCTGTACTCATAAACAGGCATTTCGTGCTGAGACCCCTTTCCGTAAGTATCATATTAGCATTTAAAGATAACAAAACAAGAAATAAACTTAACAAACCGAAACCAACAAAAAGATTAGGAAAAAAAGCTGCCAGTGCCTCAACCGTGAGCTTTTCCCCTGGAAGTTTTTTGCAAAGTAAAAAAATGCTCATTTCTTTTTGACCTCTCCCTGTTTAGCCACTCTAAGTGGAGATTTCCAGTCCACAGGAAAGAGATCCTCCACAGAACCAGTTCTAGAGACTGGCTGGACAACGTACACAGAACTGCAGTCACGCCTGGCCTTCTCTCCTGTGGAGGACGAAAGTACCATTCTCTCTGAAGCCTGATGGGGAATGTCCAGGGAACAGTAAGGTGCATCAAAGGGTCTGCAGGGTCCGCAGAGCCTCTAGGGGGGAGGGCCTATCACAAGGAGCCCTCAGCAGGAAGCTCAGGGCTCCCACAGGCAGAGTGCTCAACGCAAAGGAGACAACACTTCCCACTTCCCTCCGGAGAAAGCCTTTACAGCTTAGCTTGCTACAACTGGAAAAGACAAGTCACAAGAAGCACAACTAACACATATTAATACTAAATACTACACAATGAAGAAAAGTCAATCTCAGCTCTAAGCTACCCAGGGGGCAAGAATCATGATCAGAAGCATCAATAACCCACCAAGTCAACTAGAAACCTGTTTCACCTGGGTAAGCCTCCCAACTGTAAAAACAAAGCACACCTCCCTCCCTTCACTGCCCTGTCAAAACCCACCTGGACATCAAGACCCCGCGACCCTCCTTGATGTTCAGTCAGTGCCTTTACACCAACATTTCTTCCCAGTAACCCAGCTGAAGGCCACAGCAGGGGCCCCCATCCCTTCTTTCATAGGTTTTTGGGGGCGGGGGCGCGCGACAGAGACACACCTCTGATGGAAAAGCAAACTCAAAAGCAAAGTGCAGTAGGAGGAGCTGGGAGATGGGAGGTGTGGGGACCCAGTGGGCATCCGGGTCCAAGCCAAGGAGTTTGCGTGCGTGAGGGCAGACCTGAGAAGGTCAAGTGTAGCTGTAACTAGCGGAGAAGATACTTTTTAAAAAAAAACACAAAAATCAAAACTATGATACAAATTCAGAGTTTTCCTAACCCATTAGCGATTTTCACACCAGAATTATGTGTACGAGGCAAGTTTTAATTTCTGAAACAAGCAAGGTTACCTCACACTTAAATCTTTAAGCAAAACTACATCAAAACCTGTCACTGAGTTACTAATCCCAGGGAATTCAGGGGTCCACCCCCTTCAATTGTGAATAGCAGTGAGTTTAATGGGACACACTGGCAAAATGGATCCTCTTTTTTGGGGGGGTCCGGTCGTGGGGCCTGAACACTGGGCCTGGGCGCTGTCCCTCAACTCTTCAGCTCAAGGCTAGCGCTCTACCACTTGAGCCACAGGGCCACTTCTGGCTTTTTTCTTTTTGCTTATGTGGTGCTGAGAAATCGAACCCAGGGCCTCACGCATGCAAGGCAAGCACTCTACCACTGAGCCACCTTCCCAGCCCCAAGGTATTCTCTTTTAATAACCACCATTACGGTGAGTAAATTTAATGTTGTCCAAGGAACTAAGTGAAAGCTTTTTCCCCATACAGAACACACCAGGAGTCAGTGAGATATTTGCTGTTTTTAAAAAGTGCTGCAAACTTGGCTCGAAACAAAAGAATTTAAGAGCAGTTTACCTCACGGTTCAGAAAAGAGCACAATGCGGACGAGGAAGTATGAGCACATGGAACACAAGACATGCGACTTACTTATTCCCACAGTGGGGACCCGGGAGCCCCAGTCCAGCAGTCACATCCTCAACCTAGGATGAGCACACCAGAGTGTGGCCTCAAGTGGGGCCAAGTGGTAGGGTGGAGGGGAAGCAAACGTCTGAGCACCAACTACGACTGGGTTGAAACTGCAGGTGTCCCTTCCCTACGCCCTTGGTACTTTCCAAGCCAAGAACACCTGAGTGTTGGAACAATGAACAGGTCCACTCCTGTGGTTGTTGGTCATTCTTTTTGGGTTTCTTACCAGTTTCCTCCCCTGTAGTTTTCAAAGCAGGTTCCTTTGTTGCACTCCCAGCCCCTGACAGTTTGGGGACCCGCAGAGCAGGTACTTTCTCCCCCCATCCCTAAGCTATTGTTTGTAGTTTTACATGGCCATCTGAGAAAAGTCAGCAGCGACCCAGTGCACTGTGGACATCTATCGGACTTGCCCAAAGGAAGGGCACGAACTGCCCCCTGAGACACACGGCAGGCAGCGCCTCGGGGAAGGGCGGAGGGGACGCCGCCCTCGCGGAGGGCCGTCCCGGGCGGGGGGCTCGGCGGCTGCAGGGCCGCGGCCC